GGGAATATTTTATATTTTCACAGATACACAATGCCTTCTGCTAGAACATAAATCCGAGCAGAACAAATGTGCTGAAAAGTAAACTCCACTTGATACCTGCGATGATTCCTATTTGAAAACATACAGAAAAGTAGACACAGCTGCAACACTAACTTTGGATATATATTTAAACAATTTAATTTACTTAAAGTACTTGAACAAAACAAAACAAAATCCAAGAACGTTCCACCATATCAGCTTTTATTTAATACTTTTGGCAGATTTTGATCTTGAAGCGTGTAATAATTTCGTTAAAAAACCATTTGGTTTGTTACTAGTCCACTACAAGCCCTATTTTACATTAATATCAAATTAAACCACATAAAATATCTCATAGTACAAAATACTGGTGTATTACAAACAGTAATGTTTCTTCCAAATCTCAATCTTTTATTCCGAATATTTTTGTACGATACAAACTTTAGCCTCGATAAAGCGGTGATAAGTTCTGTCAACAAATGATAACTAACGAGTCCATACCGTAGCTATTCGTTTGTTTAATTCGTTTCGATCTATCGCATGATTTGAGTTTGCACCAAATACACATGAAAAATAAATTTGGATGAGGGCGGCGGTTAAACATGTACGTTCCTTTCCAATACGTTACGTTCTGTGATCTGCTTTTCACGTACATCCGCTACCAGTTACGGAGTTGCCCTTACCTGAAGGGAGAGAGCTAGAGGCGGCCATGGTGTCAGCAGACACCTGCAGAATGCAGACAAGACGCCAACCCTAGTCCACATACTACGGACCCTCTAAGTTAAAGCCACGTACAGCTCTTGCAACGACCCCACCACATTCAAGTCAAACAGAATGGCCATTGGCTGGTAAAATTCTTCCCGCTTCCTGATAGGCTCAAACAGCGATCATGCTATATACGCCGGGCGGTATAATATAGCGGTGGAATTGATTGTTTTGCATGTGTTTCCATGGCAACACTGTTCGCCGAATTCCAAACAAATCGCTGTAATCGCTTATTTATCGACTATGACCCATTTATTGTTACTTTCAAATTATCCAGTAACTACGAAACATATCTACGTAAAATCAATAATGAACAAGAAAAATGGTGGGTTTTTTTTTCCGACGAGAAACAAACGGGGAAGTCCCACTCTCACAACAAAAGCGTGCCGTTTGCCGTTACGATATTTGCCGCCATTTTTATTCAGTTACGTGAATTCGTGAACACTAACAGTAGAATTTCGTATATATATATATCAAAATCTCAATGGGCTCCTCACCACATAAATTTCATATTTTAAAATTTGATTATTTTTGGCTATAGGAAAAATCTCTAGTAAACATATCCACCCACTCAATTTCTCTAAATTCTTTCTTACTCTGTCTGTATGTCGTTGGTAATTGTGGCTGGTCAATCCCTCATCCTATCGAATGTTCAACAGAACAGGTTAAAACCGCAATAACTGTGAGAGAACTCGTTAATTGCTAACGTAAAATTATCCCTTTCCAAAAAGACCCAACGCTACAAAACTATATAAACTATATTCCAGCCTCATCCCTTTTTCAGAATCCTATTAGCTAATTACGTGTCTGTCTGTCCGTCCCTTTTCAAAGTCGGACATCAATATTACAGACACCCCCCCCCCTCTGGCAGACAAAACTTTACACATTAAGTAATAGTTAATTCTTATTAAAAAGGGGGAAAAGCCCCCAAAAACTGAATCAATGGACGCAATTTAAAGTAAATACCACACAGAGGCCCGAGTTATACGCGAACAAGCAAATGTCCTACTTATTTAAAAAAGCGACCAACTGCCTCGCCGGTTTAATATGCTACGCTTGATCGTAATTGCGGTAAATTACCAAATAAACTTTTTAGTGTGGTTAATGGCATTAAAAATAATCACATTACATAGAAACCGCAAAGTCTTATGTTTCTGCGATACAATTATCGATTTATGAACGGGTCTTTTCGATACTAATTAAACGTAAACAAACGTTTGATCGAAAGCTGAGACTTAAAAAGACGTTGCCGGGCATTAAAACAAATATTGCAAACAGTAGCCAGACTCACTATTCAAATTTCAAATATATTCCACCAGAGACGAGACAAGATAAGATTTCTACCACTTTCAAGGCAGAATCCCGTCGATACTGTGCTAAACCTATTTCGACAGCCGTACAGAGAGAAGCACACAGTGGGTACCCCCACCGAGTGGCGTCACTACGGCGCCCCGTCACGAATTCAACCGTCCCATCACGCAAAGGGCCGTGCTCAACATCGATCCTCCGCCTTGACTGACTTCGCGGCACTGCCCACGCGACGAACAGAAACCAACCGCTGTTTCTAACATGTTACGTAAAGACTCGGTTACTTGTACCTGTTACGCAAGAACTGTGAAGAAGAAGAAGAAGAACAAGAACTGCCCTAACTGGCGCGAATTAGACGAGTCGTTGTCGAACAATATGGTTCTCGATTTAGTGTTCTCTCTGACGACAGGTCCATATGAACAGGATCCTTCCATCCTTTTCTCGGACTGGGACCTGTTCATATACGTTCTTGGCAGATGATCCAGAAGTGGTTTGCCATTCCCTTCTTCTGTGTGTGAATGGAGTAATTGTTGGGATGCCACGGAGGAAAACTCCGTGTTGCCTAGACCACGGCCTTGCCCAACACAAGTTATAAATTCGGGCACCGCCGGGAATCGAACCCGAGACCCCAGGATTACAAGGCCAGCGTTCTGATCGCTAGACCACCGTGAATAATGACAAAGTAATAACCGTCTGTAAGAAAGTCTGTTTCGAGCGCTATTAAATCGTTCACAAAAATGAATACAATTTTAAAATATAAACTGCCGGCTATCGGTGGATGCCTAGTGGAGACCAACCCCAGTAACTGCAAAGCTATCAACTTTTAAACCTCGGGGAAAAGGGTGCAAAGACCCCGAGACCCTAAAACAGTTAAGTCCTGGGGGTCTTGGCTCAGTAAACAAGAATGCTGGGAAAGCCTAGGTTTGTAAATCTGCAGAGGTTAGCAGCAAGACTGAGGTAAAAATACCTGGGGGGTTTTCCCATTTGGGGTACAAGTCCCAAAGTTGGGCTAGCCCCACGTATGGTCAAGGTCATTGTAAACAGTGCCGCTCGTCTTGGTTGGTTCTCTGATGTGTCAAAGCCCAGAAATGGCAAACCAATTAACTCTGAAAGCCCCAGTGAACTAGACACGGGAGAAAAGCCAGGGGGCACACCCCTGGAACAGCAATCGCAGGAGACGACGCCCCACGATAGGGACGGGCGCTCACATTAACCATTTTATTCGCTTCGACCCTTTGGAAGCTCCGGGATTGCCTAGTTCCGAGACTAAAAAAAAAACACGAACGGGATCACAAGGCAAAAACCTGGTGTTAGACGGACACAGCCTCTGTACAGAGACCGCACTGAACATGGGGCTAGAGCCAATGTCCAAAACGTAGCGCATCGCAAATATACTTCTTGCATTAGAATTAAAATTTAAAGTTAAATTACTCCCTTACGTTGGAACGAAACCCATGGATCGCGTAATCTGGAGTAAAATTACATCTTATTTAGGGTCTGAGATGCTCACGACGGCGAGTAAAAAGATGGTTGTAGTCTGGTAAACGTTTACCAACGTTTCAGAGGTACTTGCTGCCATCATCAGGCCCTGAGGATGGAGGCAGCAAGGACCTCTTGACACAGCGCAACAACCCAGAAAACAACATTCTGTAAAAGCAGTTTCAAAACGCTTTCAGTTTAAAAAGTAGAGTCGGAACTCAATTCTGAAACGACACTGCAGAAGTTTATGGTGGCAATCGTACAAAGTGAGGTCGATACGGTGTCCTCCTGAGCCTCTACTAGGCTGCCAATAAAATAAAACAAAAAATAAAATCTCGTCACTTTCGCATTGCCACCTTCAACAACATCAGAGTCAATGCCTCGTCTTTAAATTTTTCGAAGCTACTAGGGGCTGGAATTTCCTCAAAGTATTATAAACGTACTTACTTTCCAATTCATGGAAAACGGCCAGTGTACGAGGTGCGATCGGAAAGTTTCCAGACTGCGCGTATAAAAAAAAAACCCGTACACTTATCTCAGGTATTAAATTCATCCATCACCCTCGAAGTAGTTCCCCTGGGAGTGAACACAACGATCCCAGCGCCGCTGCCAAGCCTGGAAGCATCCCTGGAAATCTTTCTTTGTCGTTGTGTTCACTCCCAGGGGAACTACTTCGAGGGTGATGGATGAATTTAATACCTGAGATAAGTGTACGGGTTTTTATAGGCGCAGTCTGGAAACCTTCCGATCGCACCTCGTAGTAATGAGAATCAGTCTTTCCTGTTCAGAAGGAACAAGGTTCGAATTCTTGCCAGGAGACCGGTTATCCCGTCATTCGTGTTTCGTTCCAGTCCCTCCAGACAAATGCCACGATCGACCCTTCAGCAGAGCGAACAAATGAAGAACAGAAATCGAAGTGTGTCACTTTTCATGTTTCCTAAGTTTACTTTTGCGGTGTCGGTAATAGTCTGCATTAGTGGTTAGGAATTAATCTGTACGTATCAGGAAATTAATGACGGCTTCTAATTTCTGTAGAAATATTACAACACGTCACGGTTCAATACATTTTATTGCCTAATGTGTTTTCCATTTCCCGTTGCTAAGCAACAAGATCTTCCCTTTTTATGAAAACTGGGGTGGCTTTTGTGTAAGAGTAGGGGAAAAGGGGGAGGGGGGGGGGGGGAAAAAATCGCGTGAACTTACGTAAAAAAGCTTTAGCAAATTCCAGTGCCTAAGCACCGCGTCACGGATCCGCGGGCGCGACTTTGTCATATGAAATAAATTATGTATTCCTATCTAATCCTTCACGAACTTGAAAAAGAAACGTCAGCCTGTGGCTAGATAGCGCCAGAGACACGTGATCTTTGCACTAACGGCAGTAATTTTAACAAAACTTTGCCCTTCAGACTGATATTACTGTCGATGACCGCCAGTACAGAAATTGAATCGTAACTCCTAAGAATTCCGTGGAACATCTTCTTCTTCTTATAGCGTTATAACCCTGTGTGGGTCTTAGCTTGTTTGATGAATTTTTTCCATTCTGTCCTATCATCCACAATTCTTCTCCATCCCCTTACTCCCATCGTCCTCACATCCTCCTCCACGTCGTCTATCCATCGTTTCCGTGGTCTCCCTCTCATCCTTCTTCCCATCGGTCTCCATTCCATCACTCTTCTAGTTACCCTGTTTCCTTCCATTCTTGCAACATGGCCAAGCCAGGCTAACCTTTTGCTTTTGATTAGCCTCACGATATCTGCTCCCTGTATGATACAATCTAGTTCATGATTCATCCTAATTCTCCAGGAGCCATCACTATTCCGTATTGGACCATAGATTTTCCGCAATATTTTGCGTTCAAATATTCTAAGTTGTTGCTCATCAAAGCTAGTTAATGTCCAGGCTTCACATCCATATGTGACTACTGGTCTTATCAGAACTTTATAGATTCTCAGTTTAAGTCCCCTCCCCAGTATTTTAGACTTCATTAAATTCTGATAGGCATAGTAACACCTATTACCATTCACAATACGTGCTTTAATTTCATTAGTTACTGAATTTATAGTATTAATCTGTGAACCCAGGTAATTAAAATTCTGCACATGTTCAAAATTATAATGCCCTATTCTCAATTTATTTGTGACATTTCTTGCTGCTCTTGTAACTTTCATATATTTTGTTTTCGATTCATTTATTTTTAGCCCCCTTAATTCTGTTTCTTCTATCAATTTTAATACTGTTTCTTCCAGTGCAGCTTTATTCCTGCTAATAATAGCTAGATCATCTGCATATGCACTCACGTGTATTGATTTGATGCCTATATGTCCTGAGATCTCAAGTTTCCGAATAGCTGAAGATGAAGTGTTGAAGTGAATATTATGCTCACGAAACACATGTGGGGAACCAGCTACATGCGTACTGAGAAACATCATGACATTTCTGTTCTCTAGGTATAAGTGTGGTAATTAGTACATCATGAGGTTTGTGGTGACCTGTACTTAACAACATGGTTGGAGGAAACAGGTACAGAATTTTTATGGAGAAGTATCTTGGACAGCAACATTAAGCCTGTGATGGAGGCAAGAGATTGATATCAAAATTGGTTTTGGGGGAAGTAGGTTTTTGTGTGGTTTGTAATATCCAGAGTGTGCTGAATTGCATAGTTAACACTTCTGTCTGACTTGCATTTTACTGTGATTGTGTAACAGAGCAGAGCGATGCAGACGTGGAAGACAATGTGGAACAAGATATGGGATCCAAGGTGCTTGGTGTCGATATGGGGGAATCAGGATACAGCTCTGAGAAAGCTGGCAATGAGGACTCTGCAGTTGAAAGTCCAGTGCCTCATCTTTCCAATGGAGACTCTGCCCTGGCCAGTCCTACTTCCTCAGCAGACGTGGGTGGGTCCATGTCACCACTGCGTAACAGAGCAGTGACGGAGATGAACAAAGAGCTGGTGGTCGCAATCCCTGTCTCTACTTTAGAATCTGTGGGCAGCCCACTGTCTCCCAGTTCAGTCTCTTCTGAAGTGAACTTAGATTGCTCCAGCTCGATTTCAACACGTGCTCACACGGATTGTATGTCTCCTGACTTGAACAGGCCAGTTTCTCGCTTTGAATTTCATAATGATGATTATGCGGATAGTGGGGAGGGAGTGGCAAGGCTGAGTCCTGTCGAGGATGACTCTGGTTGTGTGAAGAATCTTTTAGTTTCAGACTTGTGTGATGATATTTCTCGTTTGTGCACCAATTTTGTTCAGACAACTGAGCCAAACATGAATGGCCATGAGGAGAAGCAACTTGTTTATGGAGGAGATGCTGAAGAAGTTGAGTTAAAGTTGGATAACACTGGTAAAGGAGACATGACTAGCAAGGTACTATCATCGGGTAGTACTGAGACTAGTGTGGTGCAGTTAAATGAGAAGATGACCAGTGAAGTGCTGTCAACTGCACAGGCACCCTGCGAGACGCAGTCAAATAGGGAAGTAGCTGATGAGGTGTGCTCAAGTGGGGTGACGGCCAGTGAAGTGCGGTCAACTGGCGGGGTAGCTAGCTGGAGTGCAACATTGTTACCAAGGTACCAATGTGATGATGGAGAGTGCTCTATCCAGTCGTGTCTGAACCAGTTCACTGCGCTTGAGCTTATGACTGGAAACAACAAGGTTGGCTGTGAGAAGTGCACCCAGTGCCATAATCAGGGTAATTTAAAGCATTAAATATGTCTGAATCTGATATAAATTTGTTGTGTGAGAAAACAGCCTGCTAGGGTCAATGTTTTTACATTGTCAGACAGGATCTGTCATCTGTCATTGTTACTTTAATTTGCACAGGTAAGGAAGGCAAGATGGTGTGCACAAACTCCACAAAGCAGCTTTTGGTTAAAAGCCCCCCTGCAGTGCTGATCCTGCACCTCAAGAGGTTCCAAGTGCATCGCACCATGTTTCGCAAGATGTCACGCCATGTCAGCTTTCCTCTAGTGCTTGACCTGGCACCTATCTGTTCTACTATGTACAAGGTGCGTTTTACGCTGTGCAGTGCAGAACAGATTTTTGTGGGCTGCTTCAAAGTGATTGTCATCTTGTGACACCAAACATCATGGCTGAATGTTCAGCACTCCTATATATGTGGGAGATCTTGGGTTCAAATATCAGCGTGGTGACCAAATATCCTGACACGGTTCTTGTGGTTTTCCCTATTCTCTTGAGGCAGATGCTGGGATACCTTATATTAAGTAATGACAGCTTCCTCCCACATCCTTTTCAGTTCATTGTCATCAAATCATTTAACACTATTTAAAAGAGTTATTGGTATTGGTTGTCATTAAATAAGCCATAAATAAATTACAAATAATCTTGCAAACTGTTCAGCCCTCATGGCACTTCCTGTATCTTGAATTTACTGATATCAGTAAACACTTTTGAACATCTCTTCTTAAGACTTACTGAGAGATTCTTTAGACACTGACGATTGATTTAATTCTACATACATTGTGTTATCTCCTGCAATGATGATGCCATAATCGATTATTGTTCTCTCCTGTTATTTCATCGTGAATTACAGAATGTTCTTGATACTGTAGCATGAGTAAAGGACTCTATGGGTGTGTTCATGTCTGTCTCTGGTATGTTTCCGTGGAACATAATTTGGAAAAATACGGTGTGGGATGTACGTACATTTAACAGTAGACAAATACAAATTTGGAAAAGTCAAGACCAAGAAATTCTGTTTTTGTAAATAATTAATTAGACAAGGAACTTCCTTCATGAACATTTGAAAGAACAAAGCGATCAATATATTGATTCGAAGTCACGTGAGACTTATCGAACCAATTTTAAAAATGCAAACCACACATTTTCAATGTAAAATGACAACTTCTAACAAGCATAAACGTGGGAAAAGCCCCCTTCAGCAAGGAACTACGCCCCTTGTTCTATCTTAGTCACACGCGGGAAGGCAAGTCACCAAATTAACAGTCGTACAGAAAATGCATTAATAAGTACTCGTAACACGGTACAGGCTATTAGGGATTCCAGCCCCCAAGCTCTAAGACCACACCCTGTCTGCTATATGCGATGCTTATTCAATATATAATTACTTAAATTCAATTACGTCTAAAACATCTTCGTTATGAAGACAAACAACCAGGGCTTTGAAACGGAAATCGAATTGCATAATTC